CAATGACAACAAAATATTTAGAGAAAGGGAGCACTTTGAGATGTATCAGGCTAAAAAAACACAACAAAACATTTAGAGGATGTATTACACTTTGGATCAAAATGTTTATTTTGGTCAGGTTGGAACTTTTTGCAAAGAAAAATAATAAAAGGTTTCACAAGTAATAAAAAAAAGAAAGATAAAGCTGGATATTTGATCATACTTGAATTGTTCCAGGAACATACAGATCATATGTGGAGCACATAGTTCATGTCTGTAAAGACAGAGTCCATGCTATGTGAGAAAAAGACGCAGCTTCATCTCCATACAGTTCAAAGTCAGGTAGATGGTGAGTTTTTTTTTCCTCTCTGTTCCCTGCAGCACAATCCTACACATGCATTCTGATGTGCAGTGTTTTTGTTAATTCACTCAGAAATAACGCAGCCGTCCCCTGATTGAGTAAAGCCGACACTGTGACGCACTTTAAAAACAAGACCGTTCAAGAAACAGGGGTGCAAACTGTGGTGGACAAGGCAAAACGGATGAGACCGTTTCTCCTCGCTGTGTCACGTGCACGCTGCCTGTGGACTGTGTGTGTGTGTGTGTGTGTGGTTGTGCGTGGGTGTTTGTGTGTGTTTTCGACCAAGTAACAAAGTGTCAATCACTGAGTACCGGATATGATGCGTGAGCGCCAAACGTCTGTTGCCATGGCAACAAAGCAAACATCGCACTGATGCAGCTCGTACATAACACAGAATATTCACAGATAGAAATAGCAAGGACCCCCCCGAGTGTGTGTGTGGTTGTGTGCAACACACGTGCACTTTTGACTAATAGAGGAGGAACTTCAGTGCGCTCACATGTGTTTACTCATCAACATGTCATTGAGGGCTCCCTCTCGCTGCGTCTGGGGCGTTTTGGTCAACATTCCCTGACAACAGAGACAATCATGGATAATCGGAGGGTGAACTCTGAATTATTGAGCAACCAAAGAGTTCTAGTTCCTGTGAAGCACTAGTGTGAAAGATGAAACCGCTCATTATTCGCTCTATTTCCAAAAATGCTCAACTTTTCTTTTTTGCATTTTCTGGGAACAGTTGTAGCATTCTTGCTCAGCAACTTTTCTCCTCCCAGCTCTGATGTCAGGGAAGAAGGTGTGTGCGTTGTCTTTGTTGCCGTTGCTTTGCTTTCTTTTATTCAGAGCACCAGAAACACACATCTTTTTTGTTCAGAACCTCTTTGTGAAAATGCGCGACATTTCAGATCTAGCCTCGCATGGTTATTGTCGATGTGGTTATTTGAACGCTTGCCTCTAGTAGAGACAATTTATTGAACCTGCAACATCTGTGGTGAATATACGTATGTGTTTGCCATCACTCAAGCATCAGTATTTCCACAAGTTGAAGTAACTGAAGCGCAAACTGCAACATTTATCTGTTATGAGGAGTGGATAATTCTCTGTCTCCTGTCACACAGAAACATGCACACACTGTAGGGGAACACTGAGTAAACATTTCACACTCCCTTAAGTACACCTGAATACCCTTTCTCACACCTGGATTCATCTTTTTCTTGGCTCTCCCGCCTTCCACCATCTCATGTCTAAGATTTTCTTTCTAAAGGGAATGTGGCACTTTTTTTTAACCCTTTGCTTCATCGCATTGCAGTGCCATCGCTTCCCCTCCTTTCCACTTGGCTCTTCTCATCCTGGTCTACCCGGATACGGATACCCGGGAATAACATCCCCACTCCCTCCCGCCCCTGCTTTACGTAACGCTTAAAGCCCCTGCATATCCTCCCTGGCCATGGCAACAACCACATCTGGATCACACAGCCATCTAGACTGGCACCAAAGCGCGTGTGAAGCCCTAAAGATTTACCACATAAGTGGTGTGCAGTGAGAATCCACTTTCTCATAGTGGTGATTCTTAAAATACACTGGTGCAGTGGTATTTCTCAGTCTGAGGGGGCTCCCAGACTTTGAACGCTGGCATGTAAACTTAAAGCAAATTGAGATTCTTTTTGCTTTGCGTCCAGGGTCTGTATCACTCTTTATCTCATTGCTCAGAGGAGATCACATTTTCATGTGTTCCTGATGTATCCAAGTTTGGAACCGGTTTGTATTTTGCTTGTGAACCTCTTTTCTCTCCTTGATCCCACTCTCCTCCTTTGCTTTGCTCTCGTCTGTGGGTGCACGGTCTTTGCTCAGGTTTTCTGGAGCTGCTGTTTGTGAGCCATTTATCTGCAGGCTAGTAGTGCCCCCAGATGGCTGAGAGCTTACATTACAAATTCCTTCTTTGAGTGGTTTGAGGGATCTGAGTCTCCAAATAGTGGTCTCAAGTTTGTGTTTCATATTTTCCTTTTAGCTCATATGTTAACATGTAATCAGCCTTCACGTGAAGCTACAGACTGTGAAAAGATTCCTTTCAATTCTCTGTTCATTTTGCTTCTTCAATGCTAGATGATAGAAGTGTTTGCAATTCTCAGAGAAAAAGCAAAAGGCAGGTTTTTCCCCTTCTTTCTTTCTTTTACTTTCAGTAAAGCTCACACGAGGCAGCGTCTGATAAAAATGTCCTGTGTGTGTCCCACAAAGCTATCACTGACAACGTCCATGAGCCATCCAAAATGACTTACTTGGTCTGTCTTGAGGCAGTGTGTGGTGGTCAGCGGCAGGCTGGTGACCACGGGCGAGATCGGAACCTGTGCCCAACATAGCTGTTGCCATGGTAACTGCACCGGGCCGATAGATCGAGTTATAATTGGACGAAAGCAAATGGCTGGTTGTGGGAGGGAGAAACACTGAGCACAGGGGTGGAAGATGAATTAAGCGTTGAGAGAAGGGATGGGAGATGGAGCGAAGGCGGTACTCCGCCTGCGTACTGCCAGTGTGGGTAAAGGGGGAGGAGGAAAAGTTTCTTTCACACAGTCACGTGGCGTTTGACAAATGTAATTGGAGGTACATATATGCATACATATGCACTTTAAAAGCATAACGTCTGTAAGAGGAGGCAGCCAATGAAAGCTGCTGAACACCTACACAAATGTTGCACTGCCAGCAGGGGGAACAGGTTAAACTGAGCTTTGGGGGAATTTCTCGGCAACTGTGATTATCACACCTTCTCTCGTACTCCTGCCAGTCGTCAGTACGTATCTCTATTAAATGACTAAGTGCTAGAACTCTGTGGTTTCCCACCATCTTCTCGGGTTGACTTCTCATTCTTTGCGCAACTTTATTCACTTGCTGTTATCATGTGAACTTTTGAACATGCAGTTTTTTTTCTGTTCCTCCGTCGACTTTGATCTTTCAAACAGGTTAAAGTAGAATCCGTTAGTCTGTTTCGAATAATTGGTGAGATGTTGTTTATTACTAAATCCTTGTAATGTCTATCCAGGGCTGGAACCACTGAGCAACTACAGTAATCCTTGATCCCCCCCTGCCCTCTTTCACCCTCTGCTTTTGACTCACTGTGTCAAGCCGTCCAACTCCCTTTACCACACAGTGTTTGCTGGATTGACTTGTTGAGAGCTCAGTGCAGATGATAAGCCTTAATCTCCTACTCTCACTGTCTCTTCTTCTAATGCCTGTACATTTAAATCCCTCCTCAAGGAACCCTCAGTGCATTTTACATGTTGAGATATATGCTAGTTATGCCAACGGCCTACAGTTTGAAAAGGACACTTTTTACTTGTTTCTCTTTTTTCCACTCTAGCTGAATAGATCTAAAATAGGATCTTCAACCTTTTTTCTTCTGTAAACCAAGTGTAAACCACGTCAATTTTCCTACTAATGAGGGTGGCAGCTGTCAGCCTCACTAGTCGAATAGCAAAGACTTTTGCTCTGGCTGATAGTGATAATTAAGTCTCTCCCAGATTTTGTGTTATGCTTATGTGAGTAAGGCTGAGCATGACTACTCTGCCTTAGTATCACAAGCACAAAGCTTTTATCTCGCTAATGTGAGTTATACAGCATCTGTACCTTTACATGCTTTTCCTTTGTCTTTCTCATTCGCCCCTCCCTCCCATCTCTCGCCCCTTCTCACCCTTCCTCCCTTTTAAGAGAAGTTCTGTTTTCACAAGTTGTTTTTTCTCCACCCCCATCTCTCTCCCTCCCTACCCTAGCTCTCCTGCTGAAAATGACTCTCATTCTATTTTTACCCTCTGGTCCTCTCCAGTCTTTGCCTGTTCCACCCATTTTTCCTCTCTTTTCAGACATCCCTTCTCTCCTGTTTGTTCTGTGTATTCGTATGAGTTTGTCATCTAAAGGTTTAAAAGGCCCCCGTTTCTTCAGATACCACAGGGCAGTTTTTAATGTGTTTGCAGTTACATATTTGAACTGATAGATTGTTGACAGTATTAACTTAAATTCAAATTCATGTTTATGTGGTAGTTTTAGGCTTTTTTGCCCGTCGTCCTTACCCCCTGTGCAGTATGGATAATGAGGCATAATTCACGTATCAGGTAAACAGCAGATTGGCACACTGGCGCCTCCCTGCATAGATGGTCTTTACGGGTAATAAAACTAGAGCAGAGGATGTGTAAGTGGGAGGAATCTCGTTTTACTTCTGTTAAGCAATTGGTTGGCCTACATCTGACTGTCAGTGTTTGATTCGCTCCTTCACTCATCAATCAAGGTTTACTACGAGTACTCCACCAATGAGTCGAGTCAAGGGTGGGCTTATTAATGGAAACACTGAATATACGCACTTATAAAGCCTTATCTGAATTGTAAATGTTGTTTTTATTTTGATATAAAAGAAAAAACTTGATTATTTTAAGGTAATATACTATTATACGATTAAATAAGCGGAGATTGTTTGTTGAAAATAACGTACGGTGGCAAAGCCGAGTGAAATTTGCATATGACTGGCATTCCAGTGCACAGTGTAGCCAATCAGGGCTTCCGGCGGGCACACGACAGGTGGTCGCCTTAGCCAATGGCAGATGGAGTTCACTGATCGGGGCGGGACAATGCTGGGCGAGGTTGACAGGACGAGAAGGGGAGGGAGACGAATACAGGGGAGGGGGGGCAAGCAGCCTAGTTTACAACAAGAGGAAGAGAGAGGGAAAGAGAAAGAAAGGGCCAAGGCTTCCGAGGGAGAGGACGAGACGAAAATAAGGGTTTAAATCCCAGTTGGAAGCCATGGTGATGCGATACTAAGACTTTTCTGGGCCACAGCAAGCCTCGTAACGGCAAGTATTGAACGTACCGGACGGAGCGCGCGCCGATGTCGTCCGCACGAAGTGGCTAGCTAACCTGCTGCAGACGGACGGATCTTTAACGCCTTCAACCAAACGTCGCTTCTCCATAAAGCCCTTTTCACCTCAGCCTTCAGTCTTCGGGCGGCATTCTGTCATCTTCAAAAAGCCGCTCGTTCGCTACCTTTAAAGCTTGATCAAGGAGGACGGGGAGTTAGAAAAATACAACAGCAACCCCCCTTTCCCCTCGCTGACAGGAGCCAGGAGTCTTCACCGTGGTCGCATTTGTCGTTATGTTGTAGTCTTCTCAGTAGATAGCTTACGGCAGGTTTGTGGCCAGATTGGACAGGTACAACGTGCTGCCTAATTGGAGCCCATGAAGAGACCTACTCGATGTTTTGTGGCCCTTCTCGGTAATCAAACTGATGGATAGCGGATCGTAAGCAGAGGGTGATGGATGAATGCACCATACTCACGACATATGCCCCTGTGTGTTTTCTAGAGTTAAACCCACATGGGATGGTGTTCCTTCATAGGTGATTTTGTATTTTCTCTGGTATCTTAATTACCAGATTAAAACGGGTGCATATCATAATTCCTGTAGCAATCATTTGGAGAAGCAAGTTACTATTTCTGGGGACTGTTCCTGTTTTAAAGGTTCACGCTGGGTTTGTGGACAGTCGATCAGTGTACTTTTTTCAAGACATGAGAACAATTGCGTTTCTTTTGCCTGTGTCTGTGCGGCTGGTGCACGACCAGGGGCGTTCCCGTGAGGTTGGTCCAATTTGGAGCGGTGCACTTGAGGCTCCAGTTATTGCTAGGGACAGCTAAAACTGCGTCCGTCTGGCTTCTGATTTAAATCGGCTGGTATCTAAGTAGGCTCATAAGTCCAAAGCAAACTCTTTAAGCCCATACAACTTGAAAGCAGACCCCCCCACCCGCAGCGTTGACCACTTTCAGATTTGGTGGTTGCAGCGCTGTGCAAATTTATCCACACGCTGCTCTCTAACACCAGCCTTTAGGTTGCTTTCGGCGGGGGTTTATGTGCTTCAAAGAGCCTTTCGAGCCCTCCTGCCTGCAGCTTATCTTTGGTGCAGATCACTGTTTGACATGGCCCGAAAAGACTGCGTAGTTCCCGGGCGGATGTTTTAACCCAGGCCGTGGATGGGCTCGAGGCCTTGTTAACTCCTTCCTGACCAAGCTGCTGTAGTAATGTAAACAAACAGGGAGAGAGGGCATCAGGGGTAATTAGACCAAAGGGAGGTGGAACGTCGCCATCGATTATATTCATATATATGTCGACGGTTTATTTCACACCGTTGTATTCTTGCTAATCCAATTTCCAATTTCTCTTTTTCTATCGCAGTCTCTTATTGTGCATTTAGTTCACCGATGTTGGCTTGTTCCGTGCGCTTACGGTTGTCGCATTCAGCGATTGGGAGAGATGGACTACTCTCTTGAATTTAACTACAAATAGGATACCTCTCTTTTTGCCACACTTTATAATCCTGATCACGACAGGTTACGGGGCGGTTTTAATGATTACGTATGATGACTGCAACCTGAAGCGATGAAGCCGACACCACTGAGCACATGTCGTCATCTCCGAGCTTCCCGGCAATAACAGCACGATATTTTGGATTAAATATGTTTCCCTACCTGGATTTCTGTGTGTCGTGGGACAGATATTTTTGAACACTTAATCGTTATTCTCTTTTGGAGACGCGCCAAGGATTTCATGCAACTATGTTCTCATCAGAGAATCCTCAGTATCTTCGCCAAGGATTAAGCATGTTTGGTTAGTACATATGACATATACAGTGTATTTAATTTTTGACAAATCTACACGTATGCATCAGAAGTTTTTGAAATTGTACCTCAATACAATCCTTACCTTTCTGCCCCTTCTTAAACTGAAATTATTTTGTTCATTGTCTTTGTTTAGGAGTGTTTGAAATATAATTGAAAAAAACAGACAAAAGCACAACAACTTGTACATGCTTTTATTCATTTCTGTTTGTTAAAACTCTGAACGTTGCAGCATCTATTATCCATCCAGGCTGTTTGTTGAGAACAGAGAGTCCTTTAGTACATCTGCTGTTGTTGGAGTGATCTAACCAGTTAAGTGGATGGAGGTCTGCTACTGTGGCAGCACTCATATTCTCTGCAGCTCAGAAAGGACTGCTCATCTTCTACATTTCCAGATGTTAACATCCCCCAGGGTAGATAGCTGAAATAACTCCAGCAGCGTTAGGTGTGTTCAGAGCTGTAATGAATCTGGAGTATAAAAATATTATGCACCAACACATGGCAAACAAAATTTGAGAGTAGGCCTCTGCGGTAGGAGTGCAACTATGGTGTGGGTGTTGCATAGTCTTCAGTGCAACTCCCCAAGTAAGGAAAAAGCTCAGAATGTGAGAAGACCTGCCTCTGGTTTCTGAGCTGGGCAGCATTTTATACAAATCTAGACATCAGATGATATTACTGAATGTGCTCTTTTATTCTGCAGTGTGGACCAATGTAGAGCCCCGGTCAGTTCCAGTCTTCCCTTGGCATTCATTGGTTCCTTTTCTGGCACCCACCCAGTCAGATGCCTCTTCTCAGCCAGGAGAGGGCCAGCACCCAGTCAACCACCCTCAAGCAGCCAGTCTAAAGACAGGTAGTCTGCACCTCACAGAAGTGAAAATCTGTTTTTCATGTGTTTAGTTTGTCCTGAACAGCTACTTATCTTTTCTCATGTCTTTTCAGAGTGTCAGGGCGTGGCAGCACTTTCACAGGAGCCTGCAGATGTGCCTCCTACTGTAGAGAGGGGTCCCCCACCCCGGCCTCCCCCTTCCTCTGATGAGCCTCCTCCAGAGAAGGAGAAAGGAGATGCAGAGAGGGAAAGACCAGATAGTGAAACCGAGAGTGATGTAGATGACCCGTAAGAGCATTTTTGTCTCATTTTGTATTTTGCTGACAAATCCAGGAATGGGAAAAAAACATACATACACTCCCCATCTCTGCCTGTCCATAAACCAGTTCTTCATTGGTATAAGCCAGCCTTTACACTGATATTCTGTGTGGCGCTGCATACCCACACAGCAGGGGAGTGTGATATTTTCCGTATCCTTGCTCTAATTTGGGCAGAAGCGCTCAATGCCAGAACAAGCAGATAGAACAAAAGAATTCTCTGGTCTGTATCACAATATGAACGGCAGTGGCCACACTGTCAGCCATTGAAACAGATGAGGTAATCTGCTCATGTGTCTTTTAGGAAATTATCAACTTGTAGCTGGCAGATAAATGGTACTGAATGTAAAGTACAGAACTATTCAGTTTTTAAAAATGTGAGATGGACAAATGAAAACCAAATTGCTTGGACTACAGCCTTGGTTAATGTGTGATTAAAGATATTGTTGGATGTCTTTTTGTGTGTGTGTGCTTTAGCTTCCTCCCAGGAGTGGTACCTGAGCAGCCCCTCTCTACATCACCGGTAAAAAGACGCACACAGTCCCTCAGCGCGCTGCCCAAAGATGGAGACAAGAGCAGCCCAGGAAAGGTGATTTATTTTTTTTATTTTTTTTGTCTGCTGCAACAGTAGTATCATTGTCAGTGTCATTTTAAATCACATTAGCAAACTAATATCTCTACCTGTCTCTTTCAGAGGGAGAAGGACCACATCCGACGACCAATGAATGCATTTATGATTTTCAGTAAACGCCATCGAGCGTTAGTGCACCAGCGACACCCAAACCAGGACAACAGGACAGTGAGCAAGATTCTTGGAGAGTGGTGGTATGCGCTGGGGCCGAAAGAGAAACAGAAGTACCATGACTTGGCATTTCAGGTACACACATAAATTCACAGACAGAAAAGTCAATTTTTCATATCTGATGTATAAACCATACATATAGTTTATACATCAGTCCACATATGGTTACAACTACATTCCTGTTCCCAGGTGAAAGAGGCCCATTTTAAAGCTCATCCAGACTGGAAATGGTGCAACAAAGACAGGAAAAAGTCCAGCTCTGAAGGTCGTGGAGTCCCTGGCACCAAAGACATCAGAGAGAGAAGCATGTCGGAATCCACAGGTTGGCATTATTTCCAGTGCCTCTCACTGTGGACTCGACACTACTTAAATACAGAATTCCTCATATTAGTTGTTTGTTTCCTTCCATTACATTAACAGCCCTTTTTTTTGCCATATAATAGAACCCCATTCAGTGGAGCTGAAGGGTGTTGGTCCAAGTCTGGTGGGCGTGTCCGACAAGAGTAAAGGAGAGGGCCATGTGGGGCAGCTTACCCGTCCCAGAGCCTTTTCTCAGAGTGCCATGCACAGCCTGGAGCGGGGTGACAGGGCTAACACACAAGCCCTGGCAGAACTGGCACAAGTAATTTGTTTGTTTGTTTGTTTTTTAGAAACTGTGACTTGATTTGTTTAAAAGATATAAAATAAACCTTTTCTATTGGCATTCATTAGCACCTTCAATGAAGGAAATATATTTTCTGTCTTTTAAAGGCCTCTCTTACACATGTTATTCAGTATAAAGATTAAATATTAACAAATAATCTTCATACAAACAAGTCAAATGTGTCCACGTGTTTGCAGATGTGTGGTGATGGTGGCAGTCAGTTCTCGAGCCATGCTGCTCCTGTGTTGCAGACTCAGCGGGGGGTCAGTGAGGACATGACCAGTGATGACGAGCGCATGGTCATCTGTGAGGAGGAGGGAGATGATGATGTGATTGGTGAGAAATCAGCCTTACCTCACACATTAAGCCAGCGTTGATTGGAAGGCTAGAAACCAAATTCACGTAAATGTCTTTCTTTTCTAATCAAGTCAAAAGTTATTATCTGGAGAAGAATTATCCCTATAGGACTATGACTATTCTGTCAGTCACACATTTGTAAATTAAGTATAAATCATAAAAATGTGTGCAGTACATTTACAATGATCTTCTATAGAGAACTTTAAAAAAAAAAAGCTGAATGTCTCAAAATGTTCCTCATATAGTCCAGAGTGTGACATGCTTGAGTCATTTCTCTTTATTTTCCAATCCATGTATACTGGCACAAGATTTGTAGTCCAGTTAAATTCCGTTGTCAAGCTGTAGCTACAGCTGGACTGTTCTGCATGAAGTCATTCAATTGTCTCAGTTAGCAGTCATAACTCATCAGTATCAAAGTAATTTCCACCATCTTTAGTTAAGCTTTCTGTACAATGATTTAGTGCCTACAAAATTATAGTAATAGTATTTAAAAATTAAATCATCATATACGCATTTGAATGCAGTGGTTATGTGGAATTACGTGTTACAGTAGGTCAAGGCTTACCTGCTGGTGCCCAGAGTTAAAATAATCTCTTTGATCGTATAGCTCTTTATAGATGCTGTTAATAGTACCTGGCTTTCATTTCTAAGTGATCAGGAACCAATTTGTAAAACAAAAAGTACATAGATACAAGGAAAAAGAGTTGATGGACGTACATAAAGGGGAATAATTCAGCACAGTCTTGTGTTCTTTTCTTTTTGTAGTGGATCAGCAAAAAAAGGAATTGTTCAATCAAAAACAGACTGTAACTGTTGCGTGCTTTGCTTCCCTTCAGAGGACACTTATCCGAGCAGCTCCATAGACCTCAAGTGTAAGGAGCGGGTGACTGACAGTGACAGCGAAAATGGTTCAGGAGATGAAAGTGATCGGAAGGTTGGTCTTATTTTGTTAATATATCCAGTTCATAAAAAAAGAACAGTTCATAAAAGAAATATTGATAATCTGATTTAAATATAGATGTCAGATGACACTTGTCTGTTCTCCTTTTCAGAGAGTGTTTGCTCCAGTCATCTGTTCGACTGCTTCGTCCACTTCCTCACATCATACCCCTCATGGAAGGAGCTTCTCACTGTCATCATACCCCAGCAGCAAGCGTTATGATGAGGGAAAATCAGGAGGAGGAGGTTTTTCAGACCACAGGAGGAAGGAAAGATGTGAGGGAGAGGGAAAGGACTCTTTTGGGGGTGAGGCAGCTGGAAGTGTCCAAGCCTCTACTCTTACCCTCACTTCAGGTCAGTTAGTCATGTCCACTTCTTCAAGTGGGGGACATCCGTCTTCCTCAGTAGGTTCGCTGGGAACGAACCCTCTCCTGGGCATTGGCACTGTGAGGGTGGCCTCCACAGTGGTGACCAATGTAATGCGTCCAGTTATCAGCACACCTCTCCCCATTGCCAGCAAACCTAGGGATGGAGGCCCCTCATCCAGTCCACATCCTCCTGAGAAGAAGTCCTTGACACCCCAGCCACAAATTGTGATTGGTCCAGGAGGAGGCGGATGTGCAGCGGCAGGGGGTGGGTACTACTCTTCATCATCACAGAACCCTGTTGGTACAGGTGTGGGACAAGGTGGTGTCGTGACCAATTTAGTGTTAGGAGGACCGCTGTCCACACAATCGGCTGTGCAGCTCATCACCCCCTCCCCCCAGTCTCAGCCATCCCATCAGCAGGCCCTTACCTCCACAGCCGTTTCAGCCCCACACAGCCAAACCAACGGACCCCTGCCTCTTCCCCTGCTTCAGCATCAGTTCCTTCCTTCTTCCTCCATGGCCAGTCATGGGACTAAGGCCATCACACAAGTTCAGTACATTCTGCCCACCCTCCCTGCAACCACCAACCCAAAGAGTCCACCTCAGCAGCTCAGCCAGCCAACCAGTATCTTCAACTTACCCACAGCCCCACCAACACACATGTCCTTGGCCAACGGAAAACACCAGGGTGCAAGTTTACCAGCAGGATTTACATCTAGTCCTGCCGTGGGCGTGGTCAGCCCTGGATCAAGAGGTGAATGTTTCGAGTCCTGAGCACCGTTCTGTGGTGACGCTAATGAAATGCTCACTCTTCCTGTCTCTGTCTGTTTTCAGTACAAACCCAGTCTCCTGTGCTCCAGAGTAAAATGCTTGTTCCCATGGCAACAGTACGGACTGCACCAGCCCCTGCCCAGCAGTTTCCCATCGTGGCACCACCTATCACTGTCCAGAATGGTCCTCAGTCTGGAAGCAAGGTCAGAGAGCACTTCAGTGGAGCCAAAAGCCTGAAACCCTCTCTGATCTCTACTTTTTTTTCTCTTTTTTTTTTAAGATAGTAAAATTAGTCAGTGAAAGCAGGTTATAGCTTGCTCACGTCCGTAGACCATGGATATAAATTTGTTCTTCACGGCTTTCCCTGTTCTGTGCCTTTCCAGATCATTCAGATAGCTCCCATGCCAGTGGTCCAGTCACAGCTTCCTCAGGGTGGAGCAGTGCATCCTGCCAGCCCATTCCCTGTTACAGTCGGCACAGCTGCTGTAGTAGCACCAGGATCAGCCCCCTCCCAGACTGTGCTTCTGCCACAGGCACCTACCAGGTAGGAACTGGCAGGCAGGTGTGTCTCATCTTGTCAAAAAGCCTTTTCAATAAATGTCAACTTGTGGTTTGATTAGGGAAAAGTAACAAATGTGATATTCCTTGACAAAATAAACAGTAAAGACTGACTTATGAAACTACTCTATGAATGCATAGTTTGCCACCTTATTATTTATAGTGTGTTCCATGATGAGGAAAGACTTAAATCAAAGTACTGCAACTGGTCATTTTGGTCCTTTGCAGTGTTAAGACCTTTTCAGCATGTGTACAACCCCCTTGAGAGGGCTCTGTAAAAATGTCACATGCATATCAAATTTTTGTTTGTTCAGGAAAATATTAACTGTTCAGTGTCTCATCATCATCATAAAAAATAAAAATTAGACAAACTAAGAGTAAGTATTAATTCATCATTTCAGGTTAGACGTTTTTTGTTGTCATGGAGGATTTATTTTTATCAAGCAGTGCTTGGCAACAAAGGGAAATGCTATTGATCATATGATCAGCAGCCCCTCTGGTTGGATTGAATTCCTTTCATTTTACTCATTTAACAAAACTGTTTAAAAGTTGGAATGGACTTACTTGAAACCAAAACCTGACTAGTTTGCTTACTAAGAAAACCTTAGTGAAATGGCTGTGAAACTGTCACCTTTAGTTAATACATATTATAATTCTGAACTATAGAAAGATTGATTATAGTGTTTTAAAATACTCTGTAATCAAGCAGTTAGGACCATTTGCCAATAACAAAACAAAGCTCTTAACTTACTGGCATTGTCTCCGTTTTATCCAGTTGTGTTTTTGGTCATGTGGAGAAAATGCTTGCAGTTTTTTCCTGCCAGTTGGATCCATAACAGTTATTTCTAAATTGACAGGGAGGGTCAAAGGTCACTATTTGACAGCACAACAGCCATTTCTTTAGAAAATGTTAAAACGAATATGTTTGAAAGACTTTATAAACAAACTGGTCAATAAAGTTTGACACAAAGTGATCATCAGGTAACCACTCATGAGGTGGTGCCAGCCTGGCTTATTTTGACCCGTTCTTTGTGCTGTGGTGAACCACATTAAACCTTTTGGTGCTGCTTTACAGTTGGTCTTCTGCTATAGCAACTGTTTTTCCTGATGTAATGCTGGAATTACTTAATAAGAATCTCTCGTTAAAGAGTCAATCACTAGTAAACATCACTTAACCGGCAATAATTCCCCTGCAACCATTATGTGCTTAAATAAATGTATTAAACATGCAGAAGATGATTTTTGAAGAGGGTTTTATATGACAGTATTGCCCACTGGACACATATTAAAAGATATGTTTAGCAAAATGAGCCAATTCACATCTATTTACATTTGAGACGAGAGAGCTTTTTAGAAGTAGCTCTTTCTGTGTTAAATATTGGAGTAGAATGAAATGTATAAGCCTCAAAACAAACATGTTTTACTCATACAGTGCAGTTGGTAAATGACAGTGATGTGGAATAAATGGCATGAGACAAGCTATGTTGTAACTTATTGCAGGAAAGACCAGATCTCCTAAAGCTCAGTAAGTAATCAAGGCTAGAAACCAAATTCCTGCAGGGGTGCAGCTGTAACAGTCCAGCTCTATTCTGGACGCGTTAGTCATGCTGCTGGTGGCCTGAGGTGCCTCTGCCTGCCGCCCCCACACTACCTCTCAGCTCTTCACATCGCACTAGTCATCGAGTGCTACTTGCTGTGGTGAACACTCATCGACTGACCCTCACTGCACCACTTCTCTTTTTGTCTTCCCCTTTCCTTAAAATCAAGTCCCTGTTCACTGCATTCTGGGTCTTTGTCAGTATTGGAGCATAAACCTGCCAGAGGGCCTTTCTTTAAATATATTTTTATTACAAAAAAGTTTTTCCTCCCTCCAGTCTTTTTTGTATTTATGTGTGGTCACTTCTCCTGTTTCTGTGCCCCCTGTGCAGAATCACCTACGTCCAGTCAACTCCAGGGGTCCCATCCACTCTGCCTCTGGTCTCCACAACAACTGGATCTTCACCCACCCAGCAAGCTCTACCAGTTCCTGGTTCTGCATATGTTCCGTCACCCCTAGCAACACTTGGGTTCACAGCCATCGCTCCACCTGGACAGACACTGGTCCAGCCTTTGATTGCAGGTCAGTCCTGGAGTGATGAAAACAAGACTCATAGTTTATATCAACACCTCCCTTTTCTCTTGTTGGATTACAACAAATTGGGCCCAATATTTTAGGAAATATTATTAGTCATACTTAGGAATTGCACTCTAAACATCTGCCACCTTTTTTCACTGATTAAAGCTTAGTACACAGCACAAAACTAACAAATATTACTTCATTCTACTGGGTTTGGTATCCTAAAGATAAATACAGCTCTACTGCCTTCGTATGTTAAGAACTGGCCGCAAAAATAAATGTAATTTAATGTCACCTAGCTGGCACGGAGGCTATTTATCTACCAACTTTATGACCTGAAAAAATCGAGTCTTGAAGTTTCTTAGTTTAATTTGCTTTGAGATTTCAGCATTAAGATCCTTGGGGTACTGGAGAAACCAATATACCGTACCTTTTCAATGAGGATTTCATTAATGTTGCCCCCCTCTGTTTTCACACCTGAAAGCACACAACGTGGTGTTAATGAAGGTTAATGCTCTCAAGATTTTCGATCTGAATTATGTTTAATTGATGCAGTCATGTCGCATTTCGCACTGCTCTCTTTTTCACCAAACCCAGCTATGGGTTTACAGACAGGAGAGGCTCTGTGTTAGGTTGCCAGGAATAATTTTAATTCCGACATGTTATAAACCATTGCTTGTTTATGTAAGTTTTCAATTCGAAATAAACCATACCAGATTCCTTAAATTGCAACTTGCAACTTGATTAATTATTTTCGGGGGGGCTACATTTAAGTTGTCTTAATTAACTTTTGAGTTCAGAGGAAATATGGATATTCATTCATGTGAAAATGTTTCTTTCATCCAGGTCAGCCCCCTCTGCTAGCCCCAGCTCAGTCCCCGCAGCCCTCCACCTCAGCCCCTGTCTCTGGCTCTGGGGGACAGATAGTAAGTGCCATCTACCCTCCATCGCCCAATGTCACCATGGCAACAGGGGTGGTCTCTATGGCAGCAGTACCACCCAGTGTGGTCTACTCCGTCTCCAGCCCTTCAAGCGCTTCCCCCCACATCCTGCCCAAACACACAACCCCCACCGTGGTCACACACCCACATCCGGACAGATCGGCAGAGCGGCTCCTGCCTCCAGACAGATCTGCTGATCGACAGACTGACAGGCAGGCAGAACAGCAGACACATGCTGGCAGACAGCTGGAGAGGCACACACAGACCATCAGCAGCAGCAGCAGCAGCTCAGCTGCACCTCCTAGTGGCTCAGTGGTGTCTATAAGACCATGCAGTCCTCTTCAGATCCCAACTACTGGTATGACTGCTTCAGCCTTTCTCATCCAATAAAAAAACAGTAAATTGTTGTGTATGCTTTCACTGACCGTTTACTTCCTTCTTTCTGTATGCCAGGCACTAATCTGGGCACACCCAAACTCCCGCAGCTTCCAGTCAGGGTCCCTCAGAAAGTGAAAGCAACGGTGGCAAACATCCCAGTGGGCAGCTACGATGGAGGAGGGCGAGGGAAAGACCGAGAGCGCGACAAGGAGAGGGAAAAGGAGCGGGAAAAGGAGAAGGAAAGGGAGAGGGAAGCCGTCGCAAACAGTCGTTTTTCTTTTGATCCTGAGCCATCAGGGCAGACGGGGTCTCCGTCAACACATCCCACCGAGGAGCCTCCGCCCTCTGACAGATCAATGGAGGGCTCCAGTTCAGCAGACTGCTCTGACGCAAGGAGCAAGGAAAGCACAACCACCAAGGAGGTAAGAAGAGCCTTATACGCTCCCTTGATGCCTAACTTTTTTTTCTTTTATGAAATAGCTGTAATAAACTCTCTGCGCAGGTTGGATGGAAGGAGTCGCTCCCATCCTCTCCTCCCCCCCCTCCATCAGCCACAGAGCCAGCTCTGCCACCCCCACAAACAGACAAAGATGGTCCTGCACCCAAAAAAATCAAAGCCCGCCCGCCTCCACTAAAGAAGACCTTTGACTCGGTGGACAAGTGAGTCAATACCTTTGTGAATGTTTTGTGTAACCAGTATTGACGGACAGTGTATATATACTGTATATTCTGTGTGTTTGTGCGTATTGGACTGGCAGGGTGCTCTCAGAAGTATACTTCGAGGAACGCTTTGCCGAACTGCCTGAGTTTCGGCCTGAGGAGGTTTTGCCTTCGCCTACCCTCCAGAGCCTGGCCACTTCGCCTCGCGCAATCCTGGGCAGCTATCGCCGCAAGAGGAAGAACTCAACAGGTCTCACCTCCAGAAACTTTTTAGGATCTACTGACCTGTTTTTGTTTTAGAGTAGGAGTGACCAAGATGGATACAGTACAGTTTAGTTATATTTTCTTTGTTTACCATAAAAAACATTTGAAAAATGGCAGTTTAATGTAAACTTCTTTTCAGAGGGCTATGTTTTTAAGATATTTTCCTTTCGCCTTACAGATTTGGACTCAGCCCCCGACGAACAAATCTCCCCGAAGAGGAAGAGCCGGCGACGCTCCAGCTGTAGCTCTGAGCCTAACACGCCTAAAAGTGCCGCCAAGTGTGAGGGTGACATCTTCACATTTGACAGAGCAGGTAATGCACATAGGAAACCAATGGAAAACATCCACACACGTAATGTAATGATATTTAATAAGATTTTGTCTGTTTGTCGAGTGGAATTTCTACACAAGAGTAGTAAGAGTCTAAAGGGTTGAAGGAGAGTTTTTTTGCGCCTTTGTGTTGTATTGATTTTGTTTGCACTTTGCTTTCTGAGCATTTGCTTTTTCTTTTCTCTCTTGTCTTCACTCCTGATGTTCAAGGATTTTTTTTCAAAACTAACCCTAACCCTAACTTTGAAGTTACAGCATCGAACACGAGTGATCATTCAAAAGAAATATAACGCAGTCGTGTATGTGTTTTTATCAGTGTACAAAAAAAAAAAGATGTCGCCTCTCCTTTGTTTTACAGCCAGAGTAGTTTTTTCCAGTGAGTCTGGAGTTCAGCAGGCTCCACTCTGCATCTTAGTTACCAAAACAACAGTTAAACCAACAAAAGCTTTTAGAAGAAAATGTTAGTAAGTAAAAATGAATATAGCACAACGTAAAGCTTTAAAAACATTTTGCAAGATGCAAATTTTGCATTTAGCTTGTTTTTTTGGATTTGTGTTAACCTTTAAACCAGTAGAAAAACAACATCCAGCTTAAATTAGGTCACCGAGCAGCTGATGTCAGCTGGAGTCTGAACACAACAAGGTTGAAATCCAAACATTGGAGAGTCAGATCTGAAACACTGAATTGGACAAATGTCTACTTCTCTTTGCCAGCCCCAGTGTTAATTTCTTCAACTAGTTTTTAAAGGCTTCATATGTGTGTTGCTCTCACAGCCACAGATGGAGAAGACATTCTGGCAGAACTGGAGTTTGAAAAAGTGCCCTACTCCTCCCTACGAAGAACACTGGACCAGAGGAGAGCGCTTGTCATGCAGCTGTTCCAGGAACAGGGCTTCTTTCCATCAGGTACAACATGCACACACACACACACACACACACACACACACACACGCACACACACACACACACACACACACCCACACCTACACTTATAAACACATATCCATGGAAGGTGCTTCAGAAACAGTTACCGTACATTTCTTTTCTGCTTGCAGCTCAGGCCACTGCGGCTTTCCAGACAAGATATTCAGACATATTTCCCACCAAGGTGTGTCTGCAGCTGAAGATCAGGGAGGTACGGCAGAAGATCATGCAGACTGCGACACCCTCTGATGCCTCTGGCTTTGGGCCATCAGACTCCGGCGCCCCTCTCCCTGGACCATCTGGCTCCCAGCCAGGAGAAGGATCTGGGAGGGGAGGAGGAGACCTGCAGGATGAGGAAATGGAACAGGGGTCTGAGGCGAGTCCAGAGGATCCTCGTGACTCGCAGGACTCTTCTAGATGAGGGACGCGGACACGTTACATTAGCCAATCAGTGACTGCTCGCTACACACCTTTCCCCTCTCGCGGTTATCCTCCACCCTCTTTCCTTTTTAACCACTCATATCCTGAGTTCTTACCCTCTAAAGTCGCCAACTTTTGAACACGAGAGATGTTTGTTTGCTGTGTGTGACCCTTTTACCAAAAAAATGGACGTTTGATCGAGTTGTGGTACATGAAATGCCACCCATCTGCACACAGTCTGCACACTCTCCATTCCCACACTTCAATCAGCACTCTGTATTAGCCACCCAAAATATCCCGTTCATTTCAGTGAGGACCATCATGTACAGCTGCACTCATTTGCCTTGAAACGATTGTCATGGACAGAAAAAGGCTGTGATAGTGAACAGTTAGCAGTTTTAGAATACTTGTGTTTTGATTTTATCTTTTTTTTTAATTGTTTTAGCTGAGTCAAGGCAGGTAAGTGTCTACTTGAGAAACAACCTGTACGTATACTGATTTTTAAGCTTGTGTCTCGTTTCTGCTGACGTTCGGGGGCTGGGCCCTCAACAGCCAGAAACGGTGCGATTTGACAAGAAAAGTCGCCGCAGTGGACCTGGGAAGATGTTTTTCTCACCCGTTGACCTTCAGGGGAGGTCAACCAGGAGTGACTCACAGACTGACTGAAACTTTTGTGGACTTCTGGCAGTGCCATCATTCCTGCAAATACCTGACTGGCCAGGTCCTCCTTTTGGCGACTGACCCTAGCACATGCCAGTAGGTAGGAACCAAGCATTCCTGTGCCTCTCATCCGCTAGCCATGAAGGAAGAGGAGGGTCAGAGTCACCGGGCACATCCTGTCTCTTAGATGCAGAGGTCAGGCTGAAAAGACACAATCCTCTATTGCCAAGCAGTTTTCTTAACTTTCTTTTTTTTTTGGTTTATATTTAACATTGTCATATTCAGTTTGTTGTTGTACTATTCCTATGGTTATTATTACTCCTCATATCATTGCAGTGAACCCTTGTTTATACTTCAGTTCTCTTTGACAGATGGTTTCTTTGATTTCTGCCAGCATTAGATTTCATGTATTAGTGTTTCGTTTAGTTTTTCTACAGTTTTGGAGGCAGGTGAGAGACGCTGCTGCACACCTGTACAGTTCCTCCATGGTAGTCTTCCCTTGGCTGGCCTCTCACCTCAGCAAGGACCTGTGGTGCAGTTATATTAAATGCTCATTTTAAATAGGAATACTGAAACAACATGGACCTTTATATCCTTTCAACATTAATAAGCCGTATGTTTTTAGAAGACTCTGTACGCCTCTGTCCCTCGCTCAGTTCGATTTCTATAGCCTCAACACTTGTACATCCCCTTCCTCCACCTCTTACCTCCCTCCTTCCTCCTTTTGTCACTTTATTGCTCTCTTCAGACCTCCTTTTTAGGCAGGCAGGGAGAAAACTGGGGGAAGTGAAGGGAGGTAACAAATCAGAGAGCTGGTAGGATAAAATACTGGTTGTGTCTTTGTGCAAGACTTGGTTGTGCTGTAAATAATAACTGTAGAGTCAGTAGACTCATTATTGATATGGAAAATTCTGTCATTGAACATACGTTGACTTATAAAATATCATTACTGAAGGTAAAAACACATGCAATGGGGAAAAAAAAAACAATAAATATGGCTATTAATGTTCCTGTGTTTTACTCCTTGTTTTGTTCCAAATGCAAAAAAAAGAATTTAGGAATACTCTTTAGCTTGGATCTGTATATCTTTCATTACTCAAATAAAAGCATAAAGGAGATTGTTGCTGGAAATTTTGTTACAAGAAGTAATATAATGCACGAATGTTGTTAAACTAACCTTTTCTTTCCCCAGACTTTTGACAGATAACTGCTGTTACAAACACTGATCTCTGAAAAACCATTTATTGATTTTTACTCATTTACAACAAGATGACCAAACTCTTAAACAGAAAAATCACATCCAGGTCATAAAAGTAATAAAATTAATCATAGAAATATCAAGAGGCACAACCAATAGTCATTTATATCTTACACCATGTCTTTAATTTTAGGACAAAGTACTCTTCACATTATATCAATACTGACCCCTCGGGTCAAGAGGGAACCCCACATACTTTGGTCTGTTTGCGATATGAATTGTTCAGTTCATAAATATCTGGTTCCAGTAAATCATCGTCAGCTCAATGTTAACTCAGTATTAAGACTAGTGTTGCGTTAATTAGCTCTGTTCCTCAGAGCAGCTGCAGCCGGTCCACAGAAACCGTGTCCACGGCGAGGCCGTTCTCCAGAGCTGTGTGGTAGATCTCCAGCGCCTGCTCCAGGGGCAGCACTCCCCCCTCGCTGGTTTCAATGATGGCGATGGTCTCCCCAAACTCATTACACATAATGGTGGGGGTACCCTGTGCCTGCCAGGGGGAATATTCAAAGTCAAGTACATACACAGCAAAGGGTGTGGATGCAGAAAAACATGTTCCTGTTAACAACGTAGCTAATCATGTTTCTAGCAGGATTCATTATACCAAGTAGAAGTTGAGCAGATCTTAACTGCAGTGGTAAATATCAGGAGAACAGTTCTTATTCTGATAAAGAACAATCCATTAACAGTTTAAAGTAGCATTTAATTTGTTCCTACCTGCTGTAGATCTGAGGTCTGGATCTGGATGAGCTGAGGCTGACTGTTAGTCAGGTCCAGAGCGGAGGCGTCCACCACTGCCACAGTGGAGCCGGTCTCCATGGCGGCCTGGGCGGCGGCCTCCATGTCCAGCCTCTGCTGCCGCAAGTGCATCTTTTTGTGGTTCCTCAGGTTGGAGAAGGTCTTGAAGGTTTTGCCACACAGCGGGCAGGCGTGCGGCCGCTCGCCTGTGTGCGTCCTGCGGTGCTCGGCCAAGTGCATGCTCTGGATGAAGCCCTTCCCGCACACCTCGCAGCGGAAGGGCCGCTCGCCGGAGTGCGTGCGCAGGTGCTCGCGCAGGTGCGCGTTCTGGCGGAAGCGCTTCCCGCACACCTGGCAGGGGAACGGCCGCTCGCCCGTGTGAATGCGCTGGTGGAGCGCCACCCCAGAGGACGACACGAACAGTTTGCCACAAATGGGACACTGGTAAGCTTTAGGCCGCTTCACCTGGGTGTACCGAGGCCGGCCCAGGCCCAAGGTGTAGTGGCTCAGTCTGTGAAGTCGTAAATTGGAGGGAGAGTTCAGCTTCTTTCCACAAACGTTGCAGTCGAGTGCTTCTCTAACCAAACCGCCCGGATCCCCCGATTCTGTCCCCCCTGGTGTCGCTGAGGTGGAGGCTTCAGAGACCCGCTCTCCTCCCTCTGATTGGGCGGTGGCCTCTCCGTGTGCGCTACTCTGCACCAGCGTGGGGTGCTGCTCCACACAGTGGCTGTCCCGCTGCTTCCTGGTTAGGAAACCGGCCTCACAGTGGGAGCAGGGGAACGGGGCCGGGGCTCCCGGGTGTTGGCTGAAGCGGTGCGCTGCCAGCTTGGCGGCCAGGCGAAAAGTGGCCGGGCAGTCGGGGCAGGTCAGGGTGGCGGAGCTGGAGTGCAGCAGGCTGTGCTGACGGAGGTTGGACGACTGGGTGAAGGAGCGATGGCACACGTCGCAGCGGTATGGCCGCACGCCGGAGTGGATGAGCGTGTGCCTCATCAGGTTGGCCAGCGATGAGAAGGTTTTGCCGCAGTCGGAGCACTGGAAAGGCCTCTCGCCCGTGTGCGTGCGAATGTGGTTTCGCACGTGGATGTGCTTCTTAAAGGACTTCCCGCAGACACCACACAGGAAGCTGCGCTCAATGAGATGAGACTTCCGCCGGTGGTGCATGAGCTGCAGCTGGGAAGGAAAGCTTTTGGGGCACGAGCGACAGCAGAAAGGACTTTTGCTTGATGTGGAGGGTGAGGCAGCCTGTGCGGAGCCGGCCGGGTCAGGGGGGACTTCTGCTTCACCTTCATGCTTTGAGACCAACACCTGCTGGGGACCATCGGTGTTTTCCTCAGATGGCGCGGACACCGATGGAGCCTTCGTCTTTTCATCTTGGTCTGCTTCCACTTTGCGGGGGGAATTTTGGTTCGGATCGCTGAGTGCCTCCATCTCCTCCTCAGAGAGAGGGGCCAGCAGGTTCATTTCTGTATCAGCAGTGTGCGAGTTTCTTTCTCGCGCTCTCTGAAGGATTGATAGAGAACCAGCAAATGTTCTTTTTGGAGGTGCAGCCTATGGAAGACAATAACATAAGTCATAACAAGTTGACCACATCTGAGAATTTGGACACAGTGGTTTCTGCGCATATATTAATATGAGTACTAAAATGGATTTCTTTTTATATGGATCAACACAAATAATCTAAAGTTATTAAAGAAAATGAGCAAAAAAAGTATTATAAATTGGATTTGCCTATGCAATCTATGCTTTAAGGAAGAGGTTTCCAGGACAAACCCAACACCTCTCATCAGTTCCACACTGAAGCACGGTAGCGGCGGCATCATGCTGTGAGGCTGTGCGGTATGTCGGCGTTCATACCACAAAGGTGGGCGCGGCGGCGCTGCACGCATCACGGTTCAGGTGGATCCGGCGGTGGTAGAGGTACTTAGTCATGTTGGTGAAGGTTTTATTGCAGAACTGGCACTTGTGTAGAGGGTCGGCGGTGTGCGACTTCCTGTGAGAAAGCAGGAGTTAAAACGCGACGCGGACGGGAAAGAGAGACGCACGGGAAACCCACCGCAGCAGCCGCTGCCGTGCGAGCGCTCACCTGTGCATGATGAGAGTCATCTCCGTGGTGAAGCCGATGCCACAGTCCACACACAGGTAGCGGGCCACGCCCGAGTGGGAGCGCATGTGCGTCTGCAGCGAGGTGGCCTTCTTGAACACTTTGTCGCACTCCGGGCATTCGTGCGTGCCCTGTTCGTGCACGCGCTTGTGGGCGGCCAGCCGGTTGACGGAGGTGAAGGCGCGGCTGCAGAGCTCGCACTGCAGCGGCTTGGCCCACGCCGCCGCCTTCCTCTCCACCGCTCTGGCCCTCATGTCGTCCACCTTGACTAGAATCTCCTCCCTTCCTCGCGCCTCCTCCATTCCGCTCATGACCCCCGGCTCTCCGCTCTCCTTGTCCTGGCACAGGAAGTGCTCCCCCTGGTGCTGGAGGAAGTCCTCGGGGGTCTGGAACAGGAGGGAGCACTCGGAGCACTCGTAGGGATGGATGACCAGCACCTCTGTGGGCTGCTGCTGCTGCTGGTTGCCGTCCACGCCGGGGGCCAGCCTCAACTCCAGCCTCTGGACGCCGTTGTCCAGCTGTCCCGCAGAGCCGCGGCCGACGGCCGGCAACATGGGGGCCAGCTTGGAGCGGTGCTGGCTGGGGACGGAGGAGCTGTCGGCCAGAGCCTGAGCTGTGAGGATCTGCAGGTGCATGGTGGCGGAGCCGGGAGCCGGCGTCACCGGGGGCAACAGGTAGGACCGGGAGGTGGCAGCGGCCTTAGACACCGAGAAGTGTTTCTGCTGCTGCTGCTGCTGCTGTGCCAGCACCTGGAAAACACAGCCAAGGCCCAGGGTGAGGGAAAACAGAATGAAGCTCAAAGGCTGATGTGAGAAACCCGGCGATGTTCACAGCTACATTCAAAACAAATACACACCAGGCAATAAATAAAATTCCCAACAAAAAATAGGGAACCAGATATATACATACATTTCATTCTGTTCATGTCAACGATAACTCAAAGAATTTAAAACAGCCACTGAAAATGAAATACAACCTATTAAGTCAGGCAGTCAACTGTCAAATGCTTCAGAACAAGGTGGAAATAAGCCATTTCTGTCAGATTAATTGACAGTTTCCACAAATAATTGGGATTACAGGTACATGATTTATGGTTGATCCCGACAGGTCCAATAAGAGTGAGTCGGAGCAGAACCTGCCATGCTGAGCTACAGGTTGAAACTGTGATAGAGAACTTGTGTCTTTATGGTTAGTCAACGGTTCCCTGAATGTGCAAACACCATCACACAGTGTTACGATGTCACGCCTTGCCGTGGACTTTCATCGAGGTACCTGTGCCAAGATCTCCCCGGCCTGCTGCTCACTCAGCACGTAGTTCTGCATGTTGTTCAGGGGAGTGATGGAGCCGTCCGGGTGAAGCACATACTCCTGTTACAAGCACACAAAAACAGGAGTGGGTGACTTATCGTGTCTGGTAGCTGCATTAGTGTTTGAGACAGGACATCTATTTAGAAGTTTTCTCTTAAATATTCGGCTACCACCGAGTGTCCCATTAGTCTGTAAAAGAGCTGCAGTTAATCATTTGGTAGAATATCTGTGACTGTTTCAACTGTGAGTGGCTGGTTTGGTTCCCTTACCGTGGCCTCTGTGTTGCTGTGAGTGCTGCTCCGGCTGTGGGTCCGCCGATGGTCCAGCCAAGTCTCGGGCGAGTCAAACAGAGCCAGACAGTCAAGGCATTGGTACTGAACGGGCCCAGACATCTGAGCCTCAGAGCTGGCCGCCCCAGCCTCCACAACCTGACACAGCTCTGAAACACAGCAGTAAACACAGATGTCGGTGTTGTCTTTCTCTCTGTTCTTCCACTATTTTTGATGCGGGTTACATAATTGAATGCTCTTTATTTCCTTCAGGGTGCGTGCAGCATCTGGCTATATATGTTAAACAAATAGTGATCTATCATTCATTTTCCAAATCAGGGTATGTGTTGTTTGTGTATTAACCTTGTTGCTCCACTTCCATCCCAGCTTCCCTCATGTGCATCTCCTGATGCTGCAGCAGCTCCTCCGCATTGACGAGGAGGCTCCCGCACTCCAGACACTGGTACTGCTGACTCTGCCCCATCCCCGGGATGGCCACAGCCTCCTGGGCCTCACCCTCAGCCTCCGGGCCCGTGTGGATCTGCTGGTGGATCAGTACATCCTCAAGGGTGTTGAAGAGCTGGTGGCACTCGCTGCACATATACTGGTGCTCCACGTACACGTCCTCCGCCTCCTCCTGCCCCTGCTCGGCCATCTCTGCCCCAATGCCGGAGTCCAGGCTGTGCTCAGTGAACAGACAAATTATGTCTCTCAGTGAGGAAACGATTCCACCTGTTAGAAGCTAAAAAATAAATAAATCCATCAATAAAAGTGATAGCAACATTGAAGCACAATAATTAGAAAACTGTAAAAAGTAAATAATAGATAAGTGTGTTTCTCCAACAAAGGAAACAGTGGTGTCACATTTTAAATTGATCTGAACACAAAAATATCCAGCAGAGTTCACGTAGAAACACGTGAAAACAACTGGCTTTCAAACATGTCGTTTTGAGCCGTTAGCTCACTGAAAGGCCGCCTTTTCGGTCAGATTACGACTAAACTCTTCAGAAACTAAAAGATCGTTTATTTCCCTTCCTAATTTTAGTCGTATCTTTGTTTACAGTGTGTGATGGCATATGGAGAGCGGTTGGCGGCGCTCCCTTCGATATTGCAGACCTGTTTTTCGGCACCGCGGTTTCCTGACGGCGGCCCCCCGGTTAATCGGGCGGTCCGTCAGGCGGCGCTACCCACTTTTCCCCGAAGCTCTTCGGCCACAACGGCGGGCCTTTCTTTTCGCTTACCTCTTATCTACTCTCGTTGGATGATTCTTTGTGTGGTCATTGCTCGTCTTTCATACATCCGCATACGTTTTGTTAGTCCCTATCCGCCACTTCTGAGGCGAAAAAATTAAAAACTGATAAATGTCCGTGAGAGTTTGCATCAAAAAGCGTGTAATGAAACGCTAGCCTGCCGATCGCCTCCATTCTTGTGACAGCATGTCCCGCCCACTGCGGTAGCAAAAGGGTGTAAGATCCTGTGATTGGACAGCCTAGCTGTCAATCACAGAGGTGCTTACCAATTGGGAAATGTAGTTTCTTACTTGAATGTGTGTGCTTTTTTTGCATGTCATTTAAAAAATGTGTGGCACCGAATGAGATGCCACCCAATACATTTTAGAGTTACAATAAATTATAATCCACAGCTGAAGACAAAATACATATAGAATGCATTTTAAAATTTAAACTAAATCTATTTTTGAAATGTTATGCTTCAAAATGCTACTTAGAAATAGGCTTCTAATATCCTCTGGAATTACAGGTGTACGGCGGATTGTCAAATTATTACAACAGTGTAAAGGGTGAAAAGTGAAAAAAACGAGCAAGTGAAATCCATCAAAACTTTACAGTACGTTTGACGACTCTAAGCCAAAGATAACTCATTTTCCCATGAACCCTTGTGGTTTTACGTCGTTGTGCGTCAACTCCCCAGTCCCCCCACCATCACCGTTCTACAGAGGAAGAAAGGGGGAGACGGGAAACCTTTACTGAAAGCTGTAAGTCTATTTTTCATTCACTTAGATTATTTGAAATTCTGTACAAAATTATCTGCCAGATTGACCGACTAAACCTTCGACCTTGGCCCGGTTTAGTTCACACAAATATGAGCGGCACCGGGCGGGCCAGGACCAGCTCATTCGCTGAGCCTCCCGGAGCTCCCGGATCTGCTGCAGCCGGTGCCGGATCGGCAGTCGCCGGCGGAAGCTCGACAGGAAAAGCTGGGGCTTCGCAAGCCAGTGGAAGCAGCTCGACGAGCTTTGGGAATTTGAAACTGCCAAGTAAGTATTAAACAAATGTCCACGACGAATTAGCTTTATGTTGATGTAAAGGCTCCAATTGCGCTTTACTGTATTTTAAAACAAATGTAACCTGGGATATTTATTGCCGATTACTGTGACGAAGCCTTTGCTTTAGCCCGCAAACAGTTAGCTGGTTAGCCAACTTAAGTTAGCTGCCCGGCTAACGGTAGATGTGTTTTTCATTAGAGTAGAGCTGCAATCGAGGGCTTTCATCTCTAAGCTAGCAATAGCGTTAGCTGTAGTTAAATACCGAGAATAAAGCATTTCGACGTCCTTTTGATATTTGTTAAAACATTACCGACCAATAATTATTGAGGTATTACCGATTAATAGAGGTTGCTTTAGCTTCTTTAATATTTTCTGCCATTAATATCATATGGGGGAGCTAGCTAGCTTGCTTGCTAACATTTACAAAGACAGTTGGAAATCATCTGTTGTGACTTTTATGTACTGGTGAGTCGTCACAAATGTAATAACGCATACAAATAAATTGCTGGGCGTTAACGGCAATGCACTGACTGGAGTTCCAGTCAGCCTCCATGTTTGCCTATTAACCAGCAAATGTTGACCTTACCTGAACGGTACCTTACTGCACGCCAGGTTGCATAAAAACATTTATGACAGAATTCAGAATTTGAATACAACCTAATTCCATCTCGGGTCGTCTGTGTAATCCGGAAGTCTTCTACTTTTCTACTGAATTTAAGAACGAAAAACTCTACAGGTCTATTAATTTGCTTTTTAGCAGCATCCTTTTTGCAGATGGCTGGAAGACACCCAGTGAATGCCTGGTTTCAAGTAGCTGTACATTAGTAGCAGTTATTTGGAGATTTCCGGGCTGAATTTTCCATAAAGGAGGAGGGAGAGACAAAACAAAGTAAAGGCGCGTTTTCTTGCCAAAACTTTAGTTATTTGATAACTTGACACACAAAGAACAAATTGTGGAGCCACATACACTCCAAATATCAAACTTGGTGTAAACTGCAGTGTTAGAAGTTTTTGCCTAACTTATGATAACTTTTTTGGTGTTTGGTTTGTGTGTTTTGTGCTCACCAGGGCCTTTAAAATGAATGTGTCCTTGTGTCAGAGGTCCCTGGACCCTCTCTAATCAACCAAAACATCAATCTGACTGTATCATGTCTTGTTTTTTGTACTTTTTTGCCCTTTTGTCCAAACTGACAAGTTTGATAACGTTTTTAAATATGATTTGTGTGGATTAAAAATCGCGTGACTGGGTTTTAAATTTGCATTGGAAAAATGCAAATTTAAAAAATACTTTTTTTAAAACTTATAATAAACACTTAAGATTTCCCTCTAAAACTTATCTGAATTTACCATTAAGTTTTAGTCCATGACCAACGCCTTGATTCCAAATTTTTTCAGAGATAATCTGTGGTGGAATCACTGTTTTTAGTTTTTTTTAAAAGCCACTTAAAACATGACTCTGCCATCTGTTCAATTATGTTCCTCAGTGAGAGATAGGGCTGATGCACTCCCCACTAAATGAGCCTCGTGTCGCTGTGAATGCCTCTTGACTGCTGCCGTCCACATTTGTGCCGTGCAGAGAGTGTTGCGTGTACATCTCATCCTTGGTGAAACGCTAAGGAAGAGCAACACTGTGCTTAACCATGAGCCTGACACATTCAGTTGTTAATGGAAAGCTTTGCACATCTGAAAAGAGCTTAACAGAAATGGAAAAAATGTGTCACTGCACTTTCCAAACCCTCCAGTACTATCTGAACGACGCAGATTTGTCTGTTTGACTAATTCAGAATGATGATGTTTCAAAATAAGAAAACAAACCAAAACGAAGAAATATTTAGTTTTATAGCAACAGAAATCCAGCAAAAAAGTTTTTTTTTGATCGATTAACATTTGATAGGCTGTGATTGGTTCACAATCAAAGTTGATTAGTTCTATCGCAGCCTAATATGTAGACGTCTGGTAATACATTATTAAAATTTAGATGGCTAATATATTGAATAATTTGATTTTATGTTATCAGGCAAACCTCATTACAGTCAAGAATTAAACAATTTTCTGGTGCTGAAATTCCATCTGATTTAATAAGTGAATACATTTTCGAATTCACTAGATAAAGTCGTGCCGTCAGCCAGTCGACCCACTTTTTTTTAATACCTCTTCTCGATTTCAGCGAGCCAGAGGTGGCAACCATTAACGAGGCCCATTAACATTGCGTTAATCTTTTTACCTGAAATAATCCACTTTTCCAAATATTTGCTACATTTAGCACAAGGTTCTTTTTTTGTTGTTGTTTTTCTATCTTAAAAAAAGCTGCAGACAACGCCAATTCTAAGTTACAAAGCGTTAGTCGTGAGGCAGTTTGTCAGGTCGCCTTGAAGCACAGAAGGAAACTGGGGAGGGACGTGGCCACGACTCAGAATAAAAGCACAAAGGTGCATCTTTACAGGAGGAATAGAATTATTTTGTGTGGGATATCGATGTAACCAGAGTTGACCTTTTTTTAAACATCATTGGAAAAAATAAGGCAACTCCCCACTGGGAGCAGAAATGGCAACACGCCGTCACACACGCTGGAATCCCAGCTGCTTCATGTTGTGGTCGAAGTCCTTTATCTCTATTCTAAACTGTCTTTTCAGCGGCTGCAACATTTTTTTTTTAAAGGCAGATTTTTGTTCTGAGTCAAGAGTTAAAACAACAAAAGTCTTCATCAGCTCGGTGCCTCAGCGTGATCTGACTCAAGGGTTGCCACATCCCGCTCTGGCCTTGTGTAACCTTTGCATGAAACTAATACCACTGCGGCGGGTGGATGTCAAAGCCGGAGCGCCGTCCATCCATAAAGATGTTCAAAGATGCAAGCTCGTGGAGTTGTTTGTGCGACTGGCGAGTCGGAGGCGTGTGCGCCGCACAACGGAAAAGCCCCCTTGGATCTGTGGGAAAAGGCGCTGGAATGTGAAATCCATCACTTCTGAACTTTTGGAATAAGCGAGGTCAGGTCGGCTGTAAGACGCATCACAAGAGGCCGATGCTGGGTCAGATCAGCTGATCACAGGAAGTGTGTAGCTGTATGGATGAAAAGGCCCACAAAGCTTTGGTGTGATTTATCCTTCCCCTCTGAGAATAAACCAATCATCAAACGCTGTCAGGAAAGGAGCTGACAGATAAGTTATTTGTTGTGATTCATCACAGAACTGACTTCTTATTTGTTTTTGTTTTTTTTTCAAGTTTCTCACCCTTTCAAACAAACTCCACGGTCATTTTTCGTTGACTATGGGTGTGATGAATCAGCTCTGCTGGCCCCTTTTTCTTTTGCTCATCTGGCCTGCGTTGACGTTTCAGAAACCAAAGCTGTTCAGTGACAGTCGGGCAGGAAGCTCATCTTTTCATTTGTTACTCTAGATGCTATCATGCCACAGCTGCTCCATGTCTAATGGACTCTGACTCGTTTAAAAAGAGCGGCGCTGGAATAAAATCTAAGTAAGCGGCGCGGCGTGGGGCTGTAACGGAGCGGCGGGCAGGCGCCACGCGGGGACTGGCGTCCAGGCTGAATGCTTCCTGCTGACCCGAGGAAACAAATCTGATCAGGTCTGGGCCAATCATGCGGGGATCCCACTGTCCGCCATGAGCCTGAAATGGGTTTTGTCAGGGGAAAAAAAGTCATACAATGAAGTTCTCTGCGGCTTTTGTTATTTTAAAGAGATTCCAACATGATTCATTATTTACTGAATAAGTCATTCATTTTAAGGCAGCTTCTTAAAGCTTTCTTTTGACTCCATTTTGAAGCCCGGCGGCTTAATAGAAAATCTGTCAGGATCCTGTTGAGACAAGCAAATTGAGCAAGCCCAGAAATGGTAGCACCTCTGGGTGTGCGACTGTCCACGCAATTTTATCGCAAGCCCTGACAAGCCTTTTGGCAGGGGGCCTCTTATCTGCTGCTCTTCCCCTGCCGGTGCTGTTGCTCCTGGTACCCATTTGTCAAATCACTCTTGACCCAACACGTGCATGGGCATAAAACACCACACAGCTACTTGACCCTAACTCGAGCTGTCGGACCGCGTTGGATCTTGAGCAGCTCACTTTTGCCCGTTTGCTGTGACAAGGTCGGGCATCATCCTTACTGTACAGCCAGTTGGAAAGACCCACCCAGCGAACGATGGTGTAAAGTCCTCTTCCAGTCTCAACCCGTTCCCGTGTACTATCAGGGTGTAGACAGTAGTTGGATTTTTTCCCCCTTACGAGGCCACTTTAGCATCATTTAACAAGAAAAAATTCTCAAAGCTCGACTAGTCTCTTCAGGCTTTCTGGTTTTGATAACCATGCCCATCAAAGGAGACTGATAGCAAGTCATTAGACTGTTTGACCGACTTATGCTGCAACTTTGAAAGCAGATTTTAAAAAAACTCCAAAATGTATAAATATAAGTGAGATTGTGAGATTCCACTCTCCCACAGTTGTTAGCCCAGAAAGCACAGCCTCCTGACTGAGCTGTGGGATGTGTTTATATTTATAAAATAACCAATTCTAGCTTTTACAGCCCCCCGCAGTAACACATAGGAGTCAGCTCTTACAAATCTCCCTTTAGCTCCAACTATTTTTGCAGCACTCGATGTCGCCCTGGACACGCCGCTGGAAGCGGTGCAACGTTGTCTCCATCTTTAAAAGATGCCTCCCTCCTCCAAGTGGTGGGCAGCTTTTCATCCTTTTAAACGGCAGAGAACAGATTTGATGTGGACAAAGTTCATCTCGCAGACACAACCCATTTGTGGTCACTCTTCTTGGGTTTTGTTTTTGGTTCCTTTTTTAACTATTAAGTATTTTTAACATTCCATGCTTTCTAAAGATGGATGCAGGTTCCAGGCAGGCACTGGGTTTTTCATATAGTTGTTTAGCTCCTGTAGGCTCTGATAACTATAGGACAAATGTTTTACGCTTTCTCAAATGAAGGGGTCAAACCCAGGGTGGATGCAGGTTTCAGCAGTCCTGCATGTTTCCAGATTGAAGGGATTTTAACCTTGTTTCACCCCGAGGGAGCAGATGGAGTGTTGCGGGACGTATCAGGAGCTTATTACCAAGCAGCACAGTGTGTCTCATGAGCCCACACACAGGCCACATCCAGCCAGCGCGAGGGGGGAGGGAGGGGGCTGCTCCTGTTAATGTTTAACTTCTGCCTCTAAGAGATGCCGGTTTAAAAGCCGGAACAGGGTCCCACATCCCCGTGTGTGAGCATCACTTTCTCAGTGGTCCTCTCTCTGAATGCCATGTGATCGCCCGTTGAATGTTTAATGGCTGGTTTGTCCACAGGAGACAGCGGCAAAGTGACAACGGTGGTAGCCACACCCGGTCAGGGCCCTGATCGCCCCCAGGAAGTGTCCTACACAGACATAAAAGTTATAGGGAATGGCTCCTTTGGAGTGGTCTACCAGGCCCGCCTCATTGACACGCAGGAGATGGTGGCAATTAAGAAAGTCCTCCAAGACAAGAGGTTTAAGGTACGCTTGGACACACTCACCTGCCCACTGGATGGTTCACCCCTGGTTTCCCCTCACATCTGTTTCTCTCCTTTCTTTATTTTAGAATAGAGAGCTGCAAATTATGAGGAAACTGGACCACTGCAACATTGTGAGGCTACGTTACTTCTTCTACTCGAGCGGAGAGAAGGTGTGTATGCGTGGAATCTGTGATTCCTGCTCTAGGAAGCTTCCAGATGGAGCTCAATGGCTCCACACCCCAGCAATTAATGAGGCATGCATCACTGGTGATTCATGGGCAAGCCGGAGACAAGTTGATCTTTGTCTTACTGGTACAATGAATTTATTACTTAGGTTGAAGGGGTCCAAAGTCTATGGTTGATTTGTTGGTCAGTTTGCATCATAACTCTGCGTGACAATAATGAAGTTCAAAAACGGGTGAGAATATTAAATGTATTAATTAGGCTTGTTGGTTGCGGCCTGAGTATGGTCCCTGTCTTCAATACTTAAATGTATTGGATAAATAATCAACACGATTTTAATCATAAATCTGGCGTTCCAAAGCGTAGGAAAGTGAGCAGAGCCGACAGATCTTAGTTCTGTTCCAGTAGAACACACTTAGTTTTCACCAGCCAAATCAGTTCACAGCCTATGAGTGTGTCTGTTAAACAATGTTTAATCTAAGCTGCTTGTAAAGCCTGTAACATCAGCAGTGATGGACGTTCCACCTCAAACTTCAAACCCCAGCAAAGCCCTGCTGGTCTTTCAGAAGGTGAATCCACAGGGCACATCCAGGAACTACCTGCACACACTGCACAGGACAAGATTTCTATCTCTGGCCCTCCATCCTCCCAGCACAGATCTGCTTCTCAGAGCCTGTGTTGACGGACATGCCCAGAAACTCCTGAACAGAAAATCGATGGAAAAACTCTTCAACAGTGCAGCTCCATACTTCACTCTAACAGTGTTTTCCACATCTCTGCATTAGCACCCACACAATGTTTCCATTCACAACTCTTTTTGCTTTAGTAACTCCTAAACTTTAGCCGCATCTGGATTTTTATTAACTCCAATTAAGAAACGAGAGGCATTAGATTAATTTCTTGTCTGGTTTCATTTCACTGCATCCGCTGACACTAAATCAACACATCAAGCTCCCCCCCCCCCACTGCAGATTAATGTATAAAAATCTGATCCCAGTCCGTCAGGCTGTGTAAAGTTGGGTGAATTTGACAGCAGAAAGTGGTTCCCAGCATGTCTGAAAGGTCGGGCCGCACTTCTGTGCCCTCCTCTCCAGGACTCTGCTCACATACATGCCCCTGTTTTTTCTGCCATTTGAACTTAAAAGCAGTCAAAAAGCTCTAAAACTGGGCGATGGACCGAGCTTAAGCAAACCGGTCTGTAAAATGTCAGAACAGCATCGCGTGTGTGTGAAGGGATTAAGGAGGATAACCTACTTTCACATCTCACCTGTGGTTTTGCTGCACTTCTCTCCCTCTCTCTTCCCTTTCCACAGAAAGACGAGGTGTATTTGAATCTTGTGCTGGATTTTGTTCCTGAGACAGTGTACAGGGTGGCTCGGCACTTCAACAAAGCCAAAAGCACCATCCCCATCATCTATGTTAAGGTGAGTAGAAATTTGCTCTGCTGGGGGTGTATCTCCAACTCACTGCTGCCATGCTGCTACCGAAAGCCTCAAAGGGTCCCTTCAGGTCCAGTATTGCCTTCTGGTCAGGTCTTCCTCTATACATGTACTACAAGTGAAAGATGCAGTTGTGTCTTGTCGGTGTGATTATCAATCGCATGTTAAATCCAGAGCAGATTATGTTGACACCCCCCTCCCCACACACACACACACACACACGTATGCTTATTTGTTCGTTTTCAAAAAAACAAAAAGGTTCATTTTGGCTGTGATGAGGGATTAATGGCATCAGAATATAACCGATGAATGTACTAGTCTTTTTTTTTTTTCTAATTGGTTTGATTACTTCTCATTCATATGGGGTTAGCTGTGGGAACTCAAAGTTAAAGTCTCCTCAGAAACTGCCTGGGGATGTATTAAACAACCAGGCGTGTTTGCTCTCCCAGACAGCTCGCTGTTTCGGGATTATGAAAGCAGAAAAGGAAAGATGGGCCCGTGGGATTAAATCGTTTGCAATACCCTGGGTTCCTGTTCTAAAAGGGCGCTCTTATTAGTGTTTGTGTGTTTACTGCATATGAAGCAGCAGAGAGGACATTATAGCTGTCTCACGGCTCATTTCCCACCTCAGCCTGCCGCTCCCCTGAGGCTTTAAAATGCCGCGCCGCTCCTCCTCCCTTCCCCTGATATCCCTTCTTTCAGTTTCAGCACTGCATGCTTTGGGGTCTCGTCCCCTGGCTCCTATGTCTCCCTTATTGTGTAGCTCCTCCGCAGGCCTCTCCTCTGCTGTCAGCTCTCATCCTCACTCATCTTGTTTGTGATCACTTTGTGATCTGGCCAGCCTGTCATCCCGGCTTCATGTTGGCAGCGCTGACAACGGTCAGCCGTATTAAGACGCCCGCTGTCTGCCTTTCTCCGACTCATTAAAGGGTCTGTGCTCCACATCACGGCCAGTCTTTAATATGGGATCGACACCTCTGACCTAGATGTGATGACAAATGTCAGAAGAGTAAGCCGAGTCCGCCAGGGGACTTTTTTACATTTGTGCTATTTTGGTATAGAAACTAGCCGCTGCAGGCTGCCTCAGACGCCTCACAGCTGCTCGCACAGCACCTTCACGGCACACCCCAAAGCAGGGTTTAGGCTCATGTGGAGGCCAGCGCAACGTGATGGATTTCTATGGACAAACACAGCTGAGTGCGACTGGCTTTGTAACAAGTCCCATTTCACATCCTGATATTTGATATTTATGCCACTCTGTTGGCTTATTTGCTACACCGTGTTTGCCACCAAGATCCTATAGGTATAAAAGAAGATTAATAGATTAGCTTCACCTTATCATCATATAAGAAACAAACTTTTCCCTCCTCCTCTCCCCCCACCGTGTCGGTGTATAAGCCCAAAGAGGGCAAACTATGTAAAGATACTGGGGTTTTAAAGGGGATGATGTGTGTGGCGTTTGGGTTGAAAAATATTCTAATCTCTTAGCTCTGATGAGGAGCATTCATCATCATTTTGCCTGTCGTGTGTTTGGCTTGTGTGTGTCGGGGTCATAGGACAGGTGGAAGCTCACAGAGCTGCTCTCTGCATCCTAAGGACACGCAGCCCCATGGCAGCAACCTGTCCCTGGGAGAGCAGGCAGAGCTGCTCATTAGGAGTATGTGTCCCCAGCAAAGGGGGACCCTGGAACAGGAGGCGAGGGGGCATCAGAGTCAGGCAGCTGCTTTGTTTCTCACGCCCGTGTGCACAAATCCAATCCGGCCCTGCTGGTGAAGAGCGACAAAACATTCTGACTGCGAGTTGCTGAAAAGTTCCAGAGCAATTTTAACGAAGGACAACTTGTTTGTTTGTTTTTGTTTTTCTAAACTTGATATTCTGTGGAGATCTTTGAGTTAAACGTTCACGTTTGGGGGCTTTATGCTATCGTTAATCCTTTTCCAGCCGACAGCATCAAACGCTGTTCCCACTGAATGAACTTTGAACAATTAATCATTTTTATTGATTCGTTCATCCGTTCTCTGCCTCTCATCCGGTCTAGCCCCCATTTAATTAGATTTTTTTTTTTTACAGCTGTGACATCACGCAAAAAAAAAAAGACAGTAATAACTCTGGGCCAAATTGTTCTGGTATAATATTCAGCCACCATGATCCAGAAACTGATATGAAGTGATGTTCTTCCCCCCCCATCAGGTGTACATGTACCAGCTGTTCCGCAGTCTGGCTTATATCCATTCCCAGGGCGTGTGTCACAGAGACATCAAGCCTCAGAACCTCCTGGTGGACCCGGAGACGGCAATCCTCAAGCTCTGTGACTTTGGCAGGTCAGGCCTTCCCCCTGCTGAGGCGGCTGTTTCTGCCACCGTGTCTGCAGCGTCTTTAGTTTCTGCAACGTTATGAAAACAAACACAGTTTATGCTGATGTCCTCCTCCTTTGAAACTCCAGCGCCAAGCAGCTCGTTCGAGGGGAGCCCAATGTGTCCTATATTTGCTCGCGGTACTATCGTGCCCCAGAGCTCATATTCGGCGCCACCGACTACACGTCCAACATCGACATCTGGTCAGCCGGCTGCGTGTTAGCGGAGCTGCTGCTGGGCCAGCCAATCTTCCCCGGGGACAGCGGAGTGGACCAGCTAGTAGAGATCATCAAGGTACAGAAAGACTCCCGTTAGTAGCAGAGTGACTGAAGGAGGCCTCCACTGAGTCTGTCCGACTGTATTGTCATTTTTTATTGTCATTTGTTCACCTTTTTAATGAGGAAGTATCCATAAAACAGAGTTCTGGCGTGACAGAGTTTGGCTAAATGTAATCTTGGTAAGGAGTAGAAAATATGACATCCAGCATTTTAAACTGCTCACAGTTTGGCCCCTTTTTCCTGCTTTTTCCATCTTTTCTCCTTAAATTTGGCTTTTTAGCCAAACAAACCCAAATCATCCTTAAATGGAGGTTATGGGGGAGCATTCCTCACAAGATGGCGCTGAAGTCCCTTTACAAACAGTACGTGGCGCCTCTTAAGCCCTCCGTTTAAACAGAGAACGCCGCATCTCAGAGGACATAGCTAGCTAAGAGATGTTTCTGCATTCAAATTGTATCTGCAAAGTTCGACATCAGCTTTTTCTTTTGCTCCGCTCAGGTTTTGGGGACGCCAACAAGGGAGCAGATCCGTGAGATGAACCCGAACTACACAGAGTTCAAGTTCCCACAGATCAAAGCACACCCCTGGACAAAGGCATGTGGAGTCTTGATGCCTGGAGTAGGCCTCCCGTTGTTTGTGCACATTATTCTTTCTGTTTAAACGAAAGGAGTAGAAATTCTAAACCACTGGTTGGGTGCCATCAGGTCTTTAAGCCCCGCACCCCGCCAGAGGCCATCGCCCTCTGCTCTCGACTGCTGGAATACACGCCCGTGACCAGACTGTCTCCCCTGGAGGCCTGCGCGCACGCCTTCTTCGACGAGCTGCGCCAGCCCAACACCCGCCTGCCCAGCGGGCGCGAACTGCCGCTCCTCTTCAACTTCAGCCCTGTGGGTCAGTGTTTCCCGCTCTGCTCACATCGTTGCTGCTCCAACGGCCCCAAGACGGGAGCCCTCACTGTAGTGGTGTACTAAGTGCTGTTTGTCTCTGCTCTCTCAGAGCTGTCTATCCAGCCGCAGCTGAACTCCACGCTCATTCCTCCTCACGCTCGTGCACAGACATCGCCTGCCTCACACGGTACTGACGCCTCCTTTTTGTGTGTGTCTGTGTCTGCTTTTCATGGTTAAGCATCACCTCAAAGACGCACAGGTGTGGTTTCATGTGTGTTCCCTCTCTCCCCCTGCAGAGGGCAGCGTGTCGGACAGTACCGGCCAGCCCAGCTCAGCACCTGGATCCATCAACAACAGCACCTGAGCATCCATCCCTCTGTCATGTTTTCTGTTTTGTCTTCCCCGCGTTCCTTTTCTCCCCTCTGCTCCCGTCCCTCTCAATCTTCCTCCTGGCTCCAAACCCTTAAAAGAGAAAAGATGACAGCAGACAGGACCACGGCGGCGCTCGGCACCTCCCCTGAATGTTTACTCTTCCCAGTAGCGAGCAGCTGCTCCACTCAGGAGGCCGTGGCCTGTGTTCACCACCTCGCTGCGAAGCGTCGGCGCCGAGCCCGGGCCGGCCCGTGTGTGGCCCGCCACAACCCACAAGCATAAGGCTGGCTGGATGGATGTTGAGGAGATGAGGAGGAGGGTTGCGCACGCCATGTGGATTTCCTCTTATAATCAGCAGCCGACTTTTATCCCGTTTTAAGTTCATTTTATGTGCATTGGCTAATTTTATGTGTGGCCGTGGTGCCGTCCATTTGCGTTGCGATTGGCTTCGGCATCAAAATTAAGGGCAGCGTGTGAGGCCTGACAAATATTGACAATCATCATTAGTAGGGTCAGAAATCGCACACGTGCTGTTCGTGGCAGTAGATTGTAGCTAAACGGCTCCGTGTGTAGAGTATAGGCTCTTCTATTGCTTTCTGCCCAGACCAACACCCACTGGCGAACAGATGGGAGGAATTATTTTAATCTCCTTGTCTGATACCAGACAGAATATGTCCCTTTTAGGTAAAAAGTTGGTTTTAAGTGATATTCCAAAAGAGAGAGAGAGAGAGCACCACAGCCCGTGTTTACAGTTTGTTTGTGAGCAGCAGCTCCTTCACTGCTTTTTATGTGATCAAGAGAGGAGCTTCGTACAAGCAGAATGCACACATTCTTATTTTTGTCATTATAAGCTCGTGTCTTCTTTGGTTAAGCTGGAAACTCAGTGTTACATGTTAATTCTCATGTGAGTATTGCACATCTCCAGAGGGAGTAGAGGGAAGCAAAGGGCCCGGCGGCGTGTCCAGCTGACTCCGGCCAGAGGGAGCCGCTGGTGGGGGGGCTCCAGTTGCATCCATACACAAGCCTCAATGACTGAATTGTGTCCGAGCGCACCGGTTCAGCGTTGCAGGGGGACCGTCACCTCATTAATTATGTCACTTTAAAGTTGTTTCATATCAGCTTGATTATGTTGAAGAATGGTCACGGGGTGAAGGGGGGGCCGAGGGGCCCGGCCTCTTCGGCCCACGTCCAGGCAGGAGGCCGACTGAATTCACTTTCATTTGGTTAGTTAAGAGAGACCAGCCCCCTTCAAAGCACCCTGCCTGTGACAGCATCATGTTCCTGTTTGTCTGAAACGGTCGTCGGGGGTAGATTGTAGGGGGGGGGGGTTCGCAGCTAAGCGTCCCGCCTCCAGCATGGGCTACTTTTCTTTCTTCCAACACACAAATGTGCATGTCCAGTTCAAGCAGACCCCCCACTAATACCAGTAATAATCTGACCAGATAGAACGCTCACACCCCTGGATCCCGACGGCTTTTGGAGCCTCCACTCCCACTCTTCCTCATCTTCATCCTTTCCGCTTCCCTCTTTCCTCCTTTTTTTTTTTTTTTTTGTTTTTTTTTTTTTTTTTTTTTTTTTTTTCAACTGCTAAACTGTAAATATCAAGTACCTTTTATTTTGTTATTTTTTGTTATTATTGTTATTATATTGTCGTTCTTGTAATTTTCTTTCTGTAGTCTACCGGCGCAGCAGCAGCCGGGCTGTTTATCCTCAGTCGCAGTCTGTAAATACGATTTCATTTCAGTCCCTGGTTCAGGAGGGGAAAAAAACAGAACAAATGTTTCATTTTTATTCTCTCTCCCTCCATTTCTCCCATCACGACTTCCCCTCGCCCCACATCAGTGTCATGGCTGTTTTATTTATTGTGTTGCATTTTAGAGGGGTGGGTTTGGGGGATCTTTTTCATTGGGTAAAATTTATGGCATTTTTTTTTTTTTTTTTAATTCAGATTTTAGTCCAACATCACGCGCTAAATCATTTCACATCCAAGATACTGTACTCAGATCCAGGTGTTTGTTTGTAAGCCGGTGCACATGCTGGCAAAACTCGTGGAAATCCAGTTCTCGATTAAACTTCAGTGTGAAGGGAATGTTACGAGCCTCCGGACCTGTGGGGTCGTGGCCGTCGGGGAGCACAGATCAGCGTGTGCGCGCGTGCACCGGGGGAGGAAACGCATCCATTTCAATGATCTGTATCATCTCCTTTATCCGACCGTTTGTGTTTGTTTTTATTTAGTTTTCTGCTGACCGTGTGGTGTATGAGTGTTAACAGGGTCAACCTGTCAGTCTGATGTGCGTGTTACAGTTGCAGAGATCTTGTTTGTTTTTTTAGCACAGCTGCAGGGAATGTGTGTGCGTTTGTTCGTGTGCGTGCTGGCAGACCGTGAACATTCTCCAAAATGAAGAGCTGGCTAAATGTGCTGTTTTTTTGTTTTTGTTTTTTATGTTTTTTTTTTTCCGTCTTCAAATCTGTCACATTTTGTTTTTAAATTTGTGGTGACCCTTTTATCGCCCTTGTCGGAGGGTAAAATGTCGTGGCTGGGAACAGAACAGTTTGATAATGGAGATGGTGAAGAGGGATGGAGGGAGAGAGACAGTTTTGTTTGTTATAAATAATTAAACTCATTAATAAAGTGATGAAACTGTCCATGCCTCACATTTATGAGTGAATTAAGAAGGCTCGTGCTGTGCCGGTACAAAAAAAAAAAGTGATCTGATTGTGCATGCAGGACAGCTGAGGGAAGGGAAGCAACTGGTGTCATTTAGTTGGAAACTACTCTGGAAGTATGTAACACCAGGTAACAATACCTTAAAACAAACAATTTATGAAGTGTGCTGCATCACAGGAAAACATATTTGCTGCAAGGGTCAGTGAATTTAGCTGGAAATGTCTGTGGAGGGTTTTGGGGGGTGCCATATTGAAGATGAAAAGCTCTACACAGAAACCAGCCGGGGATTCAAACCAGGAACAGGACGAACCACCTCAGCGTGCAGCCATTCGGAACAGCCTGATCAAGAACCCTCCTCACACTTTGCACCAATCTGCACTCCTGGCGTGTTTCTCATGAGGCATTTTTAGTTCACTGCAGTCAGAAATGGATGCAGCTTTCATTGGATGTAATTATTCACTTTAGTTTAATTAGATGAGTAATAATCCTCTGCAAATAAAATATCAGGAAGCCTGGTGATGAATGAACAACCTGCTCTGTCCCCTGAGCTGCGGCGGCCATCCAGTTGCCAAGCAACATATATTTCTAAATGCCCCCACCCCCCCAGTAAAATGTTGACCATAGATCATGATGTCCACATGATTGGGATTTAAATTTCTTCTGTTTGATTAATCGCCCAACCAGGAGGGCTTTGCACAGTAAATATTAATGTGTTACAGGGTGAAAACTGCTACCTGTTAATTGCTGCAGCCCTTTGGATTCATTACATGGATGTGAATTGTATCCTCTCAGGATTTAAAGGAAATTCCTCCGGACGTTTGTGGAAAAAGTTCAGTCAGGCCTAAAACGATGAGCAAACCACAAAGAGTTAGATGAAAATCTGGAATACAGGGCCCAGGATCTCTAGCTGGTGAATTGGGGAGTTTTCACCACACCTAGGTGGGTGTGCAGTCATTATTAAACCTTGTCTGTTATGAGGTACCACTAACAAACATCAGACACATGTTGGACTGTACAAAAACTCCCACAAAGTTTGCAGGTGAATGAAAAATCAGCCCCCACATGATCTCTGAACCCTGGGTGGGCGGCCGGTGTTGTGCGAAAAAGTGAATGTTTGCGAGAATCTGATTAAGCT